TGGGAGACAGGGACTGCTGTGCACTCCAGCCCCCTGAGCCCCTGCCTTTCCAGCTGTGCAGCTCCCAGAGTTGCTCCAAGTCCAAAAGAGACAGCACTCTGAGCTCCCTTCCACCTAGTGTATGCTCGTCCCAAGGTTGGATACAGATTTCCACAGGGACACAGACAACTTCTGGGGTTTGGGAATGCTTGTTGTCCCAGTGTCTCCCTTCCTTCCTTCCTGTGGATCTGGCTGGGCTTGGCCAGGGATCCTCAGCACTCCTCAGGGATGTAATTAATAGGGGAGACTAGTTAGGTCAGGGCAGGAGCCAGCAACCTAAGGCAAAGTCTTGTCCCTTCCACACTTAGAAAAGGGTCTGTGCTTACATCAGCTATGTGTGCAGGGAGCTGCTCAGACCAAGTGACCTCAATAAATTCTGCCTCCCCAGAGCCAGATATTTAAGGGCTCTTTTGCAGAGGGGTGGGATCAAAGTGTCTTCCTCCTCCCTCTACTTAGACTGTCAGGCTGCCTGTCTGACACAACACAGAACTGGGTGGGTGAGAGCTGCAAGAGACACAGACAGAAGGCTCTAATGCCAATCTTCTGCATTCAGACAGCATAAAGCTAAGAGCAGCAGTGATGGGAATAAGTTTAACAGCCTCACCCCCAGCCTTTCCCCTAAACTCCCACAAGAGGGAAACCCCTCCTACTTGTCTAGCTAATGAAATGACCAAGAAACGAACAGAATCCCACCCCTCCAGCAGCTGTCTGTATACACACAGGCCCAGACTAAGCTTTGTTTCCTCCCCTACACCATTCCCTCTGTGCTGAGGTAACTACAACTGCAGAAGGATCAAGTGTGAGATTGCCCATGTCACTACACTGCAAGTGTTGTTATCAGTGAAAGCCCCTTTCAATCCTCATTTAAATATGAATGAAACAAGTTTGTTTTAAATCCAATGAGGATTAGAGGCCTGGTAGGCTCTACCTGCTATTGAGGCACAGAGTCCCCCTGGAGTACCAGCCTGGGCACTCACTGAGCTATTGCAGGGGCAGGTGTGTGACTAGCATAACCAGAGCTTCTCCCAGCACATGCTGCAGCTCATTACCTCATCAGGGCTTGGCTGAGCTAAGGCCGCAGTCACCTTCAACAGGTACTTCTTTCCACCAGTAGATAAAATGTGGTTCTCCATCTTCAGGACCCGCTGAGCCACTAGACAGGGGACAGCAATATAAACCAATGAGTACCTGCCCCCTCTAGCCTGGGCAGCTCCCAGCCTGGGAGGAAAGCACTATAGAGCCTGAGCCTGTGAGGACGTAATTTTTGTCTCTTGTAACATGTCACCTGAACATTCTTGTGCTGCCAGACAAGTTGCAGGATGGTAGGCTCCTTGTTCTCCCCTAGCGGCATGAGCCCAGGGAGAAACAGGCAGCAGGGGACCAAGAGAGTTCCCAAACAGGACTAGGGCCTGATCCACTGTCCTCCCATCTTGTGCATGGGACACGCACCCAGTTTCCCTCTGGGGATCTCTTGCCGGTTATAATTTGGCCCCCACCCCCACATGCCGTTTAGTGCTAGCTTGCCCTCTCGCCCTGTTACCTTCCTCCTCTTCAAAGGTGATGAGGGCATGGCCTGGGCAGTCAGTTGTGATCTGGATGTCAGCGATCTCACCCCCACCATTGCGGGTGCGCAGGAAATGGATGGTGAGCTTGTCAGCAACACTCTCTGGTGGGATGTCTGTTGGGATGCCCCCCACACGCACTATACGGCCAGCCATGTGACCAGAGCTGTAGAGGGAACAAGAAAGTGAGGACACATGCTGAACTCCCCAGCTGGTCACCAAAGTGCCCATAAATCCACTAGATGCCAGCAGCCATGCTGGCAGTAGTGACTGTGGCACCAGGCTTGGAGGCTGAAGACCACAGACAGACTGCAGACCTAACTATCGAAGGGTTAATACTGCACTCATCTCTGTGGTAGCTGAGCCTAGTGGTTAGGCCCCAGCCCCCCTCCTCTACCCTCAGCCAGCCCAGCTGTATGAGGAGGATGTGATCTTGGTTGCACAGAGCTGTGCAGCTGAATTCAGCTTGTCTGAAGCAATTCAGGGTCCTCAGACACTGGGACACGGGCCCAGTGGCACTGACGAGGGTGAAGGCTGAACCTGGACCATAGCTAACATTGAGTAGAGACCTGCCTCACTGACAGGCACTGGAGGACCTTAACAACTTGGAGTAAACCACACTTTGCAGCCCAGTTTGACTCTGTCACACGCAAGGGGGAGCCCAGGGGAAGCCAGGTGCAACTGTGGCCCCACCACCATGAACGCTGCTTGCCTCCCGAGCCTGGGGGGGGGCACGGCGAGCTCCCGCAGGCGGTGCTGGCAACGGGGTGTGGTAGTGGCCAGCGGGGAGCTCCCGCAGGCAGCCGCAGCAGTGTTGGTGGTGCCAAGTGGTGAAAAACAGGATGTAAGGTGTCCAGTTTCATATCAATAGAGGACACAGGACCAGAAAACTACATGGCCCTCTATAAAACGGGATGAATGGCCACCCAATGCACTGCTGCAGGCACCATGAGGCACTGAGGTGCCTCATGTCAGGCCCCAGCAGATCGGGTGCCCACCTGGCAAATGCTTCGGGCCACTGGGGATCCTGGAGGCCGGACGGGGGCGCGCAGGCAGCCGACAACGGGGGGGTTAACACCTACCCGAAAGGCGGTGGTGGCCCAGTGCTGGGCCTGCGGCCTAGCGGCACCCCGCAGCGCCAGAGCTAGCCGGGACACACACAGCCCCCGGGCCCAGGCCCGAGGCACTGCTGGGGCCGCTCGGGAGGACAGCGGCCGGCCCCGGGTGTTTCAGAGGCCGGCCCGGAAAGGGGCCAGTGCTGCCGGCCCTCCCCTCCCCTCCCCCGGGGCTGGGAGCGGCAGCGCCCGCCCGCTCGCCCGCCCTGC